TTTTTAAAGGTACATAATATAATAAAATAATAATAATTTATTACAGAAGAAATAACACTTCTGTGTAAAATAACGAAGATTAGAAAAATTCTATGAGATGAGATAATCTCTGTATTATAAATACTGACAATTTTTAAAGGTACATAATATAATAAAATAATAATAATTTATTACAGAAGAAATAACACTTCTGTGTAAAATAACGAAGATTAGAAAAATTCTATGAGATGAGATAATCTCTGTATTATAAATACTGACAATTTTTAAAGGTACATAATATAATAAAATAATAATAATTTATTACAGAAGAAATAACACTTCTGGTTAAAATAATGAAGATTAGAAGAACTCTTACAATAGAAGAATTTTTAAAGATATACATTATATACATAAATATGGTCGGAAGGGGTGTAAGGATGGTAGAGGATTAAGAGAGAGGGAAATTTGGGTCGTTGAATAGGTTAATAGACACAAAGTCACCAGAAATAAGTTGCATAAGCTCGCTGAACCGATTCAGAGATTCCTCTATCCGACGCGGAATGGCCACGGACAACAGTCGGTACCTGTTGCGTCGCAACAGTGGCTTCATAATGTGCCGACTCGGATACGGATGCATCCCCCGTATTCCAGGAATTAGAATTTTCAGTTCAGCCTCGAATAATTAACATTTCAGTGTTTCGATTATAGAAATATTTTCTAATCTTATTGTTCGATGTTTTCAAATAAAAAACTTGCGCGTGGAATATCGTTTATATACATGGAAAGAAGAAATATTACGCGATTGATAAAAATGTAATGTCGGATAAAAGTAAGAGCTAGCAGTTAATGTTAAACAGCTCGACCCGAAACGAGAATGCAGAATTTTTTTACATGATCACAAATATCGTTACAAATGTAATTATTATCGTTCAAAATAATACCATTTCCTTAGAAAAAGAACAACGAATAGAAGAGAATAAAAATTTTACATAAACAATTATTTCAAAGAAAAGAAATAAGTTATATTAATTTATAAATATATAAATTTTAATAAATAAAATTTCAACAACGTTCAATTTATTAATCGTGTTGAATCACTTACCGGATACTGTTCAGCCGATTTAAAGATCCCCATCGAGATATATGCAGAAACAATTCAATAGCATGCACGTTTCATTAACATTGGACAAGACTGGGCTCAAAGAAACATCGAGAGAACACGAAAAAACAAAAAAAAAAAAGAAAGAAAAATTGGCACTATAAAAGAAGCAAGCTCTCTAAAATACGTTAACAAAAGAAATAATCACTCAGAGAAAATTCAAAGAATGATTCTTCACTTACCCCCGACACCGACTAATTGGTTCACCCTTTTATACGAATCCAAAAACAATTCATTTAATAAATATCTCTATATTTTATATATATATATATCATATTTCTAATTTTTTATCTAATTTTATTTCAAATTATATCTAAATAATTATCATATATATATAATCAATAATCATATGAATTTCGTGATTTCGTGAAAAAATTTTAAAAAATTTTTTAAAATTCAATTTATCTTTTTTTTTTCTTCTTCTTGAAAATCGACAGATACGCTGCCAATCCAAACTGGATGATCGCGACTCACCTTTATTCCGAGGGTAGGAGTCAGCATCCCATAGTCGGTAAGGGGTGGCAGCATAACGGGGGATATGTTTGCCATCATCATACTGTCTAGAATCTTCGCACGTACTTTCCCTTCGTGCACAGAACACAAATCAATTTATTGCTTACTAGACCTACCTGAAACACAAAAGGTAAGAAGAAAGTTAGACGGGTGAGAGAGAGAGAAAAACATGAGACAAAAGAAAAGCAATAGAAAAAATTAGAATTAAAGAAGCGAGAAATAATATTCCCCAACTCAACAAAATTATATTAATTATTCAAAAAGCGTTCTTAAATTCATATAATAAATAGATTTCAATCACACTTATGCATTCCTTATTAAAAAAAAAAAAAAAGAAAAGAAATAATGGATCTTGTAAAATTTTAAATCTTCCAAAAAAAATCTTTCAACAAAATTATGTTAATTATTCAAAGACTCAAGCGTTCCTAAATTTATATAATAAGTAGATTTCTGTTACACTTATGCATTTCTTATTAAAAAAAGAAAGAAAGAAATAATGGATCTTGTAAAATTTTAAATCTTCCAAAAAAAATCTTTTAACAAAATTATATTAATTATTCAAAAACTCAAGCGTTCCTAAATTTATATAAATAGATTTCTATCACACTTATGCATTCCTTATTAAAAAAAAAAAAGAAAAGAAATTGTAGATCTTATAAAATTTTAAATCTTCCAAAAAAAATCTTTCAACAAAATTATGTTAATTATTCAAAGGCTCAAGCGTTCTTAAATTCATATAATAAATAGATTTCTATCACATTTATGCATTCCTTTTTAAAAAAAAAAAAAAAAAAAAAGAAATCGTAGATCTTATAAAATTTTAAATTTTCCAAAAAAATCTTTCAACAAAATTATATTAATTATTCAAAGGCTCAAGCGTTCCTAAATTTATATAATAATTAGATTTCTGTTACACTTATGCATTCCTTATTAAAAAAAGAAAGAAAGAAATAATGGATCTTGTAAAATTTTAAATCTTCCAAATTTCTTCTATCCATGGCACGTTCTCGCCCCCTCGAAAATTCGAAAGAACGATGTTTCATGTTTCATAAAAGGTTTCGTTATAAATTTAAATTAAAGCAGCAACAAGCCGATAACACCTTGAACGACTACCCTTATCAACAACATCCCGTGATCGATTCATTCCCTTAAACATAATCAAAGAGCTCTGTACTAAGCGTTCCTCGAGCCGATCGGTTGGAACGATGAAAAGCTCATATAAGCGGGCACGGATTCTGATTTCTTGGAACACCGGCTTCGCTCCCGGCGGCGAGATGGTAATTCCGTACATCCGCACACGCACGCTCCCCGTGCAAATCACCGGCTTAGGAGCTTGATTGTTTGCTCGCCGGCTAATTAAAGTGTACTTAGAGACCGGTTTCGTTCGTTTCCCTGGATCATCGCCCCTCTAAATCTCTCCAACCCCCTTCCCCCTCCTCTTACGAAAACGTGCATTCTTTACCTTATTATTAATTTAATTATTATTATTATTACTCCGAAACATTAAAATAACTAATTTCATACAAGTTATCGACAAACAATTAAAAATAATCCAACTACCCTTTAACCAGAAAAATGATAAAATTACAGAAAATTGAAAATCGTTTTAATATTCCTCCTCCAGATAGAGAGAGATATCCAAACCAAAAATTTCATTTCATTTTTCTTTTTTTTCTATTTCTCGAGTGTAATCGAAGATTAACGAACGTTCGCATTTCAATATGGCCGAGCTTCGATTCAATAATTCGAATAATTCTCTCGATCGCGTGAGAATCGTGAAGAAGAAGAAAAAAAGCTTTAGGGGATTGGAAAAGAAGGGCGTCAGATGGGTGGAAAGTTGGATTGGCCGGCCACGTGGCGTGTCGTCGATCCGCGAGTCGGAACAACGGATAAAGAGGTTGGAGGGAGGGAGAGGGGGGAGGGGAGCTTGGTATGCGCGCGAGATCGCACGAAGGGGAAACGTTGTAACGGCACGATCCGGGGCGGCTTAACCGGCAAAGCCGACGTAAGACCTCCCGCGAAATCTCTATTTCCCGGCGAACGCCGTGTTTCCACGCTGTTTTCGTCCCAGATCAAACCGTTACCCTTTATCCCTCCATCCTCCCCCCTCACCTTGTCCACTCCCCTTCTTTCTACTCGAGTCGTTTAACGATGGACGAAAGAAAACGCGGCTAGATGTTCGCCTCTCGTTTTGCCACATTTTTCCTTCTTTCGAGCTTTCCACACTCTCTCTCTTTCTCGCTCTCTTTTTTCTCTTTCTCTCTCGCTATTTTGCCAGGTGATAAGATTAATTATGATTAACACGTTGACACAAATGTTTCTAATCTCCTTCAGGCCATGCTGTATTAAGTGTACTTCAATGCTTCTGATATTTTAGCAATGTGAGTCGCAAGAATGATGTTTTGCATCATTTGTTTCCATCATTTCGCGTCCGCAGTAGAGGTATTGATAATAGTAATTGTATTGAGAGTAATATTGAATAGTAGTATTGATTTATATAGTATATTTTGGATATTTTAATTTGGATAATATGTCGAATGCTCTTCGACTAGTCGTAACAAATATACTTCTTAGTTGTGGATTGTATATAAATTCTCATAGTGTCATAACAGATAATCGTATCCGATGGTCAGAGCACGATAAGTTCATAAACTATCTAATTGTCGTATCACCATGAGACTCGTGATACCCCAAAATTAGAAGATTTAGAGAATTATTAGCTGCAAAATTGTTAGGATTATCTGAATAATACAACAAAACTTTGTCAAAACTTTCAATGGAGTCAACATAATATCGCCGTTTGGAAAAATAATTTTGGTATAAGTATGCAAATTATTCAGATAAAAGACGACAAACGGATCGATCAAACGCACGAAGGAATTTAAAAAAGACAACTTTTTGTCCAAATTGTCAAGCTTTGTATAGAATGTTTTAAAATTTTACATTCAAAATAA